TGAATGAATATTTATATATATATATACATATATATATGAACACACACACACACACACACACACACACATGAATGTCTTCATTTTTCCTTCTTTTTTGAAGGACATTTTGCTGGATACATAATTCTTTATTGATGATGTGTTTCTTTCAGCACTTTGAACATGTTTGCCATTGCCTTCCGATGAGTTAGTTATTTATCTTATTGAGGACCATTTGAATGTGATGAATCACTACTCTCAAGGTTTTCTGTCTCTGTCTTTCAGCATCTTCACTGTGGTATGTCTCTGTGTGGATCTCTGGCATTAGTCCTATGCGGAGATTTATTGAGCTTTTTGGATGTATGTATTAATGATTTCAACAAACTGGGGGAAGTTTTCAACAATTACTCCTTCAAATATTTTTTTCTTTCCCTTTTGCTCTCCCCTCTCTTTCTCGTATCCCCATTTTGCACGTGTTCATACACTGGACGGTATCCATCGTTGTTTAAAGTCTGTTTATTTTTCCTCATTCTTTTTCTCAGATTGAATAATCTTACTTGACCCTCTTTAATTTTGCTGATTTTTTCCTTCTGCACGATTACATTTGTTTCTGAGCCTTTGTCTTCGTCAACCTGGGCTGATATACAAAGTAGCATGTACGGGGGTGACTTAAACACAAGGAATTGATTTCCTCACAGTTCGGGAGGCTGGAAGCTGTGGATCAAGGTGCTGGCTGGGCTGCTTTGGCACCTGGTGAGGCTCTCTTCTTGGCTTGCAGGTGATTATCTTCTCACTGGGTCACATGGGGGAAAGAGTGAGCTTGCTGGTGTCTCTTCTTAGGAGGACACTAATCCTACTAGAGCGTCACCTTTTTATCTCATTTAACCTTAATTACTGCCTTACTCCAAACACAGCCACCCTGGAGGTTAGGGCCTCAACAGAAGGCACAAGGCCATGATTCAGTCCACAGCAACCCTTTCTAGTGAATTCTTCATTTTGATTACTAAATTCTTCAACTCCAGAAATTCTTTCTTATAATTTCTATTTCTTCTTTTATATTCTCTGTTTGTGGGATATTGTTTTCAGATTTTCTTTTACTTTTTTAGACACGGTGTCTTTTAGTTCTTTGAGCATGTTTAAATGCTGATTTAAAGTCTTTCTCCATGAGTCGAATGTCTTTGTCTTCCTCAGTAAAAGTGTTATTTATCGCTTTTCCATTAACTCCC